TTGGTGGAGATTTCTGTTCTCTGTGTAGCATCTGAAATGGTCACCATCTCTGTTTTTACTACTGGAGGCTGTGGTGGAAGAGGCAAGAATCAATCCAAAGGGCATACGGCTAAGGTTTGCATGGTAAGCTAACAGAAAATATGACCAAAAACCTAAAAGGCGATTAAAAAACACTTAAACATGTCTCCCTCAACTCAAAAACAACAGCAACAAAAACTCCTAAAACAAAACAAGGAAGTAAAATGAATAACCAGACCTTTTAGCCACCTAAATTAGGACAGAAGATTCCAATAACCTTTGATGCTACATCTTAGATTCAAGTATCAATGAACAACACATGCTGAAACGGATAATAATTTGTCTTAAACTTAGGAAAATGGGAAGGAGTGTCAGTTTAGCTATCGGTTCTTCCATTACACAAAAGTTGCCAGTGTTAAGTAAAAGCTGTAAGTATGTAAAAAATAAACCTTGCCTTGAAATAGAGAATTCTCTATATGAATTCTCCATGAGGGCCCATCTGTTACTTGGTCTAACAGGAAATAAAGCTAGAATTTCTAGACATTTCTAACATTTAATTAGTTTTAATGTTAATTTCTAAAACAGAAAACTGTTACTTCTGGGGTTTAGAGGGTATGTAGCTATTTAACTACTACATTAAATACCAATGGTTTCCTCTGAAAAAATCTTTGAAAAGATATTGTAACTCCCAGTATACAAAGGGATGTCTGTAATACCAACATCTATTTGGGAAGAAAAAGATACTGACAAAGCAAAACTCTGCAAGCAATTAAAACAATGTGGTATGTGCTATATTCGGCCAGATTTTTAAATGTATTAGGCACCTAAAAATGCACATCTGAATGAATGGGCACTTAACTCTAATGACTTCATTAGGCAGTTTGGGTTCCTACACACATGTGGGGAGCCTGTTCCAACACGCTGGAAATCCAGTGTGTTGGAGCAGAATCGATTAATCAAGTCTGCTGGAACACGGAAATTGATGTGCTCTGGCAGCCTCGTACATCATGTCTATCGATTTAGCCGCACTGACAAAATGGCAGTGGGGCACTTTGAAATAAAATACATCCAATAAGCTTTAGTTTAAAGTGCTCTGTCACCATTTTTTCAGCATAGGGACACATGGCAACACTGATACACGGGCGCTTTTAATTAGCACATTTTGCTAATTAAAGTGCCCAGCGTCGTG